AAACCAGTATTTTGCTGAGAGGCAACGGCACTTTGAGTTGGAAAGGAACCTGGCTTAGTGCAGTTTGCTCCTGTAATGGAAGTGCAGCATCTGCATCAGGAGTTGGCAGCAAGTAGAGCTCGTGTACAGAGTCTCGTGGAGCAGTTGACGATGTGAGGACTGGGGTGAAGAAAGCCGAAAAACAGCTTACGTCCAATAACATAAAGAAAGACTCTGAGCCGCTCCAGTTTCTGACTGGTTTGCCTTCAGGTGTTTGGACCGCTCTGTGGGACTTCTTTGAGCCTAGCCGAGAAAATGTACTGCGCCGCGCCAGATCTGCGAAGACGGAAGCTGAGGGACGGCGGATACAGTTGGAGGTGGCCGTAAATCGCCAATGAGCATGTAATGGAGGATCAGCTGCTATTGGCATTGATGTGTCTAAGCCTGGGCCGAATGGAACAGAAGCTGGCATGCGTGGCACAAGTTAACCATCCGTTTCACGGTATATAGCTAGCTGAGCTGGAAAGATGTCTTGTTCCTCCGTTTGGGCATGATCCCCATCTGGGTGAGCTGGCGAGATGTTCAGTCATCAATGCCATGTACCGCAAGACATTCTGCAATGGGGATGAAACAGTTCTATTTTGCCATGCACTTAGGGTTCTCGCACCGGCACGGCACAGCACAACAAGACCCAACAGATCCTTGCGCTCTTATTTTCTCCCATGGTAACATTGCTGATCACAACACCCGGTAGCCAGTCGCAGATGCAACCAAATCAACCAGGTTCTTTTTTTCCAATACGGAAACCAAAGGTATACCAATATTTACATCGAATGCAGTGATGATTTCAATACTGTTCACTAGTACAACGCATAACCAGACTGGCATATAATCATGATAATATTATCCATTTCGCAATCACTGTCATTGCTTTCTTAGATCTCCAATCATCAATATCGGACCATAAACCGTCTACTAGTATCATCTTATATTATTTCATCATTAGTATCCTGCTACTATCCTCCTCTAACGATGAGCTTGAAGAAACGAAACAGCTGTGTAGAGGCGTAAATAATATCTGTCAACGGAAGTGTCCTTGCTGTGCTGGTGTGTTTATTCTTCGTGCATTAGTTCGGCCAAGAGCGCATGGTGGTGGCGGGTTGAGGATGTAGTACAGCGGAGTATGACCGAAAGCTCTGTCACGATTTTATTAGGAAAATATAGAAACGGAAAAAACTGTATCTTCATCTTGGGCGTAGACAGCCCGTCTCACATTAAATATACTAGAAAATAGTTCACTCTGAACATGCAGTCTTCCTAAGAGAGAGAGGGGGGGGGGGGTATATTCATAGGTTCGAAAGAACCGCAAACACTTTGCTGCAGACAGCGGCAAGCTTTGGCCCTCGTGCTTCGAAGAGGGAGAAATCCACTGCGCTACGCTTGCGATTAACAGCAAGCTTCAACTTTTCAAAGGTACGACTCATCACTGGCTCTGGGGTAATGTTCCTGGAACAAATGCCCCATTGTCGACTGAGGGCCAGGGAGCATGCCATCTGCCTTCCTGGGCGAGAAGTGTTCCAGCACAAGAAGCAGCACGAATACATGCTGACAAAGACCACCATCACCACCAGCCGGCACACAGCACACTGTTCTTCAAACACCATCCACTCCGTCCATGTGTTTGCACTGTCCTCCTCTAGCTCTTCACGCTCAACAAATACCACGCACTGCTCATGGTTTTTTTGCTTCCTCTGGGTTGGCTAGCCCTGGCCTTCGACTTGACAAAACAGCGATCACCACTGCACTGCTATCGTCACCTCATAGCAGTCGCTTCCAACAGGGGCTTTTCCTGTCTTTGCAAGGTGTCCAAGGATGGCTGCTGTTGTCACTACAGGCAAATCAGAAGTACTTTAGTGGCTGATGTCCAACCAGATCGTTGGAAAATCGATTTTTCCACTTCAGGGCTACTGATCGCGATCGCGACTTGGTGACTTGGCAGCACCACTTCATAGAAGATGGCTCTGGAGAGGAAAAGGCAGACCAGAAAAAGGTTACTATTGTCTTCAGCACCGATCTCAAGGAGAAAGAAATACGGTCTGCTAAAGCCTAGGCACAAAATAAATCTCAAAACACGATTCACGATTCGAATATTTCAACAACAAAAAAACTCACCTCTGGAGTAACTCCAGTTTGTGGCCCGAGATCGTTCCCTCCCGCGCCTTGAAAAAATCCTACAGCTGCATCACAGTCCATGTCTCTCTCGGAGACTCTGCTCCTACCAGCAGGAGGTTCAGCACCGCTCGAAGCCATCGCAAACTACTTGAACTAAGCAGAAGACATTCCAAAACAAACCTGAAACACACTGTCAAAGATGCTGTCACGTTCAAAAACTAGCTCGATCGCGAGTGAGGTTGCCCCCGTGCTCGAACCCAGTATAATAAGGGGATCGGTCTATTACGCTCGACCAAGACCCTATGCGATATGCAGAGCTGGATCAGGCGTTGCACACTCTGGGGGGGGG